ACCTTAAGAACATGTTTCTTTAATCCCCAATGGTCTATTGCAAATCAAGAGTTCAAGGGATTGTTATTTTTCTATTTACTTTTTCCCCCCTTTCAAAACGTATTAGATATGTAAAGTGCTTTTAACATGTTCTAATTCTACTTTCAAAATAACAAAAAGTGTTACTATTGTGTATGTGGGAAAATTTTCAGAGGAATCATTTTTTTTGACATTCGTTTAAAACTTTCCAGATTACATGTGTTTTTCTCGTTCTGAATTTGTTTGGTCTCAATAATTTTGTCAATAACTTAATCCACTACAATTGCAATATAACCAAAGCAAAATCAAAAGCAAAAGCAAAATGAACTATCATTTCAAGTCTTTAAAAGTAGCTAAGAAAGGTATTGGTTCTTGCACTGGTTTTACTTGCACTGGTTCTTGGTTTTTGAGGTTGAACTGTTGGTTAAAGCTTTGGTTACGAAATGCGAAATGATTCCAACCGGACAGAAGAGAAGGCAAAGAGAAACCGAATGCCTCGTCTCGATCTGATTCTCTAACCCATCATTAAAAACTTGCCTGCATAGTAAAACCCAAAACACGCGTTAATTATAAGAAACTTGTTTGGACTTTGGATAATTTCAAAACCTGAAAAAATTGCAATATACCTAGCAGCAAAAAGATCTATAACAAGAAGATGAATCCAAGCAGAAGCAAGAGTCATTTCACTTGAGAACATTTTCGCTATTCCTGACAACTGCAGATGAATAAAAAAACCTGTTTAGCAACTGCAATGATCAAATTTTTCTCATAGATTTTCTTGTTTTTCGATGTTTCGAATAGGTAATTCGAAAAGAAAGCGAAACCTCTGGCAACATGTATTTACTGGAAAACATGTATTTGAACGTATCAGGTGTCCAAGAAAGGTACAATAGATATGCGTATAACACGCCTAAGACGATATACGGTATACCACTCTCCATAGACTTCTTGGTCTGCACAAAGACAAAAACATATACTCAATCTACATGAATTTCTCTAGGTCTAGAAGCTGCAACAAAAAACAAACTTACAATCTCAGCTTTTGGAGCTACAACCATTAGAGTATAAAAGGGAAGAACCGCAGTTGTTCCAACCGCAAATACACTGCTCGCTATCTGCGAAGTAGCTAACCCTGCACATGATGAACATAGTATCTCAATAAAGTTTAAAGCTTTTGAATTTGTTTTGTAATGTTTTGAGATACATTACATGAAGCTCGTACGCCGGAGAATTTCTTGTGAACGACGGAGGAAGAATTCGATGAAACATTGGGGAAAAGAGAGATTCTGGATCCTCCGATGAAGCTCCAACGATTATGGAATAGAATCTTGGAAGAATCAAGGCTTGTTACAGTGGTCTTAGCTGAAATGTTGCGATTCATCATTATCTGAATCACCAAAACGAATTCATCCCTTCTTTATATCTTTAGAAAACCAGAAAAAAAAAATCAGACAAAAAAGCTCTTTGATTTTAACAAGAATCAGGAACAGAGAGAGAGAGGGAGAGGTCTGTCTATAACAGGGACCCAAGCAGGAGGAGTAAATTCAGTTTATATAAAATCAATATAACAATTAAATTCGCCGATTTGATTCAAAGGATAAGAATTTAAGGTTGTCACATAACATAGAATTATAATCCGACAAAGATCCAGCAACTG